ATCTGGTATCAGAAGCAGACTTTGAGTCTAAATAATAGGAATATTCAGTTTCCAGCAGCAGAACATGCACTTTTATAGAGCAGGTGGAACACAGAGCTCCCGGGGGAAAACTGACCATGTGGAAACACCTCCTAAAAGAATGGAGACCACAGAGCAGGGGTGAGGAATAGCTGTGGTTGTGAAGAGTCTGATTTTCTGTGTGACCCTGTGAAACTCAATCTGCACAGCAGACAAGGTACTTTTGCTGACCCTGTCTGGACAAATATCTCTTTATAAGAATGGATTTAGCCTCTTCAAAGACAGAAAGAGCTTTGTTTCCCTCAGGATCTTATAGAAGAAACCCCCCACAGGGCCTTGTGGAAATGCAGCCTGGTTTACACTCTCAGTGTCCTATGCTAGTGTAATCTAAAACTGAACAACCTGGACTTGGAAAAGATAAAAATAAGAGGAGTAATAAATGAATATCAGTATTACACATTGTGAATAAACATATGTTTTCCTCTATACATATATGAATACAAATGTAGAAAGATTATAAAGCATTCAAGAAATGATAAACATTAAGTTCACCTGTAATGGATAAACAACCTAGTTACTCCCAGAGGTGGCATGAGATGGAATCAAGAAGGAAGACACAAGAGGCTTTCATAGCATCAGGAGGATTTTCCTTATTAAGCTATCTTAAAAGCTTTTAGACATTTGAATGCTATTTTTTGAAAAATGGCTTTCTTAAGGTATAATTTACATATATACAAATTTCTGGTTTAAATTGTACAATCTAATGATTTTTAGTGTAGTCACAAAGTTACTCAACTATCACCACAACCCAGTTTTAGAACATTTTCCTCCCCCAGAAAGAAAAAGTAGCTGTCAATTCCCACCCCTGCCGCCTATCCCCAGTCCGACTTTCTAGCTCTGTAGATTAATCTACTCTGTACAATTCAGTAGATGGAATCATACAATGTGTGTTAAGAGTGGCTTCTTTTACATAACTTGTTTTCAAAGTTCATCCATGTTGTAATATGTTTCAGTACTTCATTCTTATGTTTGAATAATATTCCATTATATGGATATACCATATTTTGTTCATCCATTTATCAGTTGGCGATATTTGGCAACATTTGGTTGACTTTTTTCTATTGTACTATGAACATTTGTGTATGTACAAAGTTTTGTGTGGACATATGTTTTCATTTCTCTTTGGAGTCAAATTCTGCTCTATCTGGGGGTAAAAATTATGGGCTCTAGTCTATAATAACTGTTTAAATGTTTGAGAAACTACTAGGCTGTCTACCAAAGTAGATGCATCTCTTTACAATCCCATTACCAAAGTATGAGGTTTCCAATTTCTCCACCAATTTTTGCCAATATTCCCTATTGCCTTATTATTTTATTCATCCATGTGGGTGTGAAGTGATATCTCACTATGGTTTTGATTTATATTTCCATAATGCCTAACTAATATCTTTTAATGTGCTTACTGTCTATTTGTGTATATTTTTTGGAGAAATATCTATTCAAATCCTTGGGCTATACTTTATCTTTCAGTTGTTGAGTTGTGAGAATCATTTACATATTCTAAAAACAAATCTCTTATCAAATATATAACTTCAAATATTTTCTAGTCTTCTGTGAGTTGTCCTTTCACTTTAACAATGAATGACACCTTTCAAAGCACAAAAGTTTTATTTTGATGAAGCACAGTTGGCCCATTTCTCTTTTATCATTTATGCTTTTAATGTCAGATCTAAGAAACTCTTAACTAATGCAAGATCATAGATATTATCTTCTATCTTTTCTTCTAAGAGTTTCGTAGTTTTAGCTCTTACATTTAGGTCTATGCTCCATTTTGAGTTAACTTTTGTGTATAGTGTAAGCTAAGTATTTAAAATCTTTCATTTGCATGTGAATCAGTTGTTCCAGCCCCATTTTCCCCAATCATACTCATTCTTTTTGATGAAAAGAGCTTTCTCTTTTTTCTGAAACTTTTTTCTATAAGAACACAATCATATCGTACTAGGGCCTACCCTAATGATTTCATCTTAACTAGATCATCTGCAAGGACTATTTCCAAATAAAATCCCATTCTCAGGTACTGGGTGTTAGGACTTCAACTTGTAGGGGGTACAATATAACCTATAACAGTAAGTATATGTCTATCTTATATAACAGTAAGTATATGTCTATCTTATAGAAATTTGGTACTGTTGTGTGCTAAAAGGATGTACTATTAGAGTCATGGGGTAAGCGCAATGGTATGAATAGGGGTGGAGTCTCCACTAAAGGAAGAAGATACTAAACTGATCAATCATCTTTCAGATAAAAGATGGAAACAGAAAATGGGAAAGACCCTGAATTGGGATTATAAAGGAAATTCCTTTCTCTCTCTGAGCCTTGACTGGAGCCTAGACATTGGAAATGATGCACCTATGAGGTGTTTCTAGGTGGAAAGGAAATCCTTCCTCTTCCTTAAGGATCAAGGGGAAGATGGGCACTGAGTAGAAGGCAGTTTTATGGAGGCCAGGAGAATAGACTGGGAACTAAGAGCGCCAAGAACAGCCACATCTAGCAGCTAGTTGTAAGTTATTCCCCCTGTGGAAATCTCTCTGAAATCCCCAGTTGTAAGCAAAGTCTTATTAAACTCACAGCTTGGTCTAATACTAGAGAGTCTATGTTCATGCTTGGACCACAGTGCTGAAGAGTGGTGGGCACTCTGCCCATGGATATGTCCAAGAACCAAAAATTGCAGGTGACAGTCTACAATCATGTTGGTTACATCACCCACAGTAGTCCAGGCTGACACAGGAGCCCTTGTGAGATGCCCCTTCAGAATTCCCAGATAGCAGAGTCTGGATATATCTAGAGATGTGACCTAATTTGTAACAACTTTCTGCTGAGATATTCAGGTTACTTACAAGCATTGCTACTGACAGTTCAAATAACAGAAATTATTTACCATTTTAGAAGCTGCTATATATCATTAAAATCATATGCTTAAAGACAAACTCAGTAAAGAAAAAAAAACTAGACATTTCCAAGAAACAAAGTTAACCATTTTGGAACTGCGTACATTATTATGGCTATGTTGTAGGTATTTAGTGGTCAGCCTGCCTTTAACTCTTAAAAATGAATACAATTAAGACAAGGGACCATACCTTGAAAATCTCTGCTAGAGAGAACTTTGCCATCAAATGTGCAGCATCCTGAGATTGGTAAGGACACCTGCCCCTGGCATGACCATCCAGAATCTATTCAGACCTGCTTATCATGTATAACTACCTAAATCATTGCTATCCACTATTGCCTCCCATCCTGGGAGAGACTTGGTGTCTGAAAAACACAGCTGAGCTCTCTGCCTTGTATTGTGACTGACTTGATCCAAATACTTTGGGTGACAAAACTCTGTTGGATTTTCCCCTTTAGCATGTCTGCCTAGTCTTTTATTTCTCTGGCTGACCTGAATATTTACACACATTATGAAAGTAATCAAGCAAGTGATATCGACAAAACCCATACTATACACATTCTCAGTAGTGAAATATTAGAATGTTTTAAGATCAGGAAAATTTTTAAAAGTATCTGAGATCACTCCTTCTCTTCAATATAGTAGATGGAGGATCTGGCCAAACCAAAAGACAGAAAAATAAATTAAAATGTGACTGTTTGCTGAAAGTCAACTTGTCAGTCCATCTCACAGGGAGAACTGCAATGCTATAATTTAGATTCTCAGAGAGGAGCATTCTAAACAGGAGGTAGGATGAGCAAAGAGGGGTATATCCCAGTACTCAGTGTGTCAATGACTTTCGAGCCTCTTCTTCCAGAACTCACTAGAACCTTTAAATTTGCCTGTCATTCCAGATGCCTCTCTTCACTTTAATAAGCAACTACATTTGGGGCAGGAGAGAGCAGTGAATCAGGTCTTGCTCAAAGATCAAGCCACCATCACCATCCTCCACATGATGGCTTCCCCCCTCACCAGTTCCAGAGAGACAGGTGCTCCTGGGCTCGTAATTTTTTGAGGATTCCACAATATAAACTGTGATGCTCCCCCCAGGGGCAGTAGTGGGCTAGAGCATTCCTAAACTGCTGAATAATGTTGCATTCTGTAGAGAAGCTATACTCTTTTCTGGACTTTATCCAGGTGTTTGCTATTGTGAACTTTCTGGAACATTTTTCCTAGTACACAAGCAAGAAAACTTTGCTTCCGAAAGACCTTTAGGCCAGGGGGCCAAACTTTTCCAAAGTGGTTTACTAATTATAGAATCATCAGTAACCTAAAATAGATCCTGAACGTCAATGTTTTCTCCACACTCAGTATTTAGACTGGATTGACTAAAATATCCAGGCCCTGGGTACACTTTAATTGTGGGTCAGCATTTAAAATAAGGTGACATATAAGTAGGACACTCTATCTGCACATTCGGGGTAACTCAGTTCCTTGCAGGCATGTACACATGCATGTATGTGTGCAAGGTTCAAGACTCTGTCACAACCAGCATGATAAATGAAGGTTAAACTCTCAGAAATAAAAACACGAAACGGAGGCCCCTGGGACTTGTAGTTCTGCGGCGCTGCGCGCGGTGCTCTCTGGTGTCTGTAGTCACCGGCGCTCTCTGCGCAGGCGGAAGCGCAAGCCACGTGGACCTTTCCTCTGGCTCTGCTGCGGTGGCGTCCCCTGCTGTGGCGTCCCCAGCTGCGGCTTCAGAAGCAGCAGTGTAGGACGCGCCTGTGACCTTCCCCTGGAAGGAGTGGGGGCAGCTGGACCAGCCCCAGAGGATCGTGTGCTGGGAGGTGACACCAGAGACCTGCAGACTCCTGGTTTCTGGGGCCCGGAAGACCTGAGCAGATCCGCCAGCTGAACTGCCAATAAAAGGCAGAGAAGAGAGACCTATAGGACCTCCTGCTTGCGGTGAGTGAGGGATCAGGAATAGTGGTTAGAAATGGAGGAAAGGCACTTGCAGCCAGTTGGCATCTTGCACAAGGAAACTCTGTTTAGGAAGATGAGCCCTAAATGCAGTGTGTTGGGGGCAGATGATGGTCTGAGCTTAAGGGACAGGGAGCAAGTCTCTGCGGAAGAAACTCTGCGCGAATGTGACTCGCAGGAGCTGAGTAAAGACATTTTGGTTCCAAACGGGAAGACCGTCTACAAGTGCACAGAATGTGGGAAAGAGTTTAATAAGAACTGTTTGCTGGTTCGTCACCAGCGTATTCACACTGGGGTGAAGCCGTACCAGTGCCAGGAGTGTGGGAAGGCCTTTCGGGAGAAGGTGGACTTCGTTAGACACGTGAGGATTCACACTGGGGAGCGGCCCTATAAGTGCATGGAGTGTGGGAAGGCCTTCAGCCGAAGGTCACACCTCATGTACCATCAGCGGATTCACACTGGACAGAAGCCCTATGAGTGCGCTGAGTGTGGAAAGACCTTCAACTATCACTCTGTTTTTGTCCAGCATCATAAGACCCACACTGGAGAAAAACCCTATGGGTGCAAAGAATGTGGGAAAGCCTTTCACTATAACTCTTCCTTAACCAGACACATGAGGATTCACACTGGAGAGAAGCCCTACAAGTGCAGTGAATGTGAGAAGACGTTCACCTACCACTCCGTTTTTTTCCGCCATAGTGTGACCCACACGGCTGGAAAGCCTTATGAATGTAAAGAATGTGGGAAATGTTTTTCCTACAGCTATTCCCTCACTCGGCACGCCAGGAGTCACACTGGAGAGAAACCTTTCGAGTGCGTTGAGTGTAGAAAGGCCTTTGCCCACCACTCCGCTTTTGTCCGCCATAAAAAGATCCATGCGAAAGGAAAAGACCTTTGAATGCAAAAGATGTGGGAAATCCTTTTGTGACAGATTTTCTTTCCTTTCTTGAATGCAGTGAATGTGGGAAAGACTTGACCTGCAGCTCTTCCCTCATTTAGTACTGAGGGATTCATACCAGATATAAACTCTATGAGACATGTGGGAAGGCCTTTTGCAAATGGATCCCCCTCAGTTGACATCTGAGAACTTATATTGGGAAAAGACATTTTGACTAAAACTAGGGAAGAAAATCTTTTGGCCACAAGAAATATCTTTCCCAGATCTGAGAACTCATTCAGGAGAGAGACCTATGAGTTATTATGCACTTAAAAGAATCTGCAGCCACGGATCTCTCCATAGGTTACATCATTAAGCCATCTCAGGGGTATTTGAATAAACAAAATAAATACGAAGAGAAGAGAAAAAGAAATTCTGTCACTGCTTCTGTCAGACTTCTCTGAAAGCCAAGCCTGTATGAAATTGAATTTGGTTCTTTATTTGGAGGATGTCTGAAAGGTAAAAAGGCCTTGCCTCATTATTTATCCTTTATATAAATTCACTCCTGCCTAGCGACAGAAGAATTGATTTTGATAGAGATTTATTCAGTCTGTAAAGATTTATTAATTGCATTCTTTGCTCTAAAACATTGTTTCTACTTTTGAGGAATATGTTTTTGTGAGAAATATGAAAGCTTAAGTCATGAAATGCTTGAAATGTGTAAGAAATTAAGATTCACATACAAACTGGCACATTTTATGGCATAATTTAAGTCTACGTAAGGCTTTATTTTTTTATTCTTTTTATTTTCTTTTTTTTTGAGACAGAGCCCTATGATGTTGCCCTTGGTAGAATATTGTGCCATGACAGCTCATAGCAACCTCAAACTCTTGGGCTTAAATGATTCTTTTGCCTCAGCCTCCCAAGTAGCTGGGACTACAGGTGCCCACCACAGTACCCAGCTATTTTTTTGTTGCAGTTGTTTAGCTGGCCCAGGCTGGGTTCTAACCCACCACCCTTGGTGTATGTGGCTGGAGCCCTAACCACTGGGGTACAGGCGCCAAGCCCACTTCAATTATTTTTTTTTTATTATAATAAGGGTACATATGATTAGGCTACATTGTTTGCATTTATAAGGTAAATCCTCCAAGTTGTGATTGAGTCCTTAGCCCAAGAGGTGTGCCATATGCCGCTAAAACCCAATAGGTGAAAGCTTACCTATCATAAGGACATTTTTTTTTTTTTTTTGGCCAGGACCGGGTTTGAACCCACTACCTCTGGTATATGGGGCCAGCACCCTACTCCTTTGAGCCACAGGTGCTGCCCATAAGGAAATATTTTTTAAGTCTCTTTCTTGATGTGGTTTTAAATGCCCAGAGCTCTCATTTTTTTCCTTGATGTCCTTATTTGTTTTGATTCACTTTCTCAGGGATATGAAGATGATTGTGTAGTTGTGTTGCTTTCCCAAGAAAGCCTCGATTATTTCCTCTGTGGTTTCTCAGCTTCTTTGGCCTTTTACAGAGGGAGTTCTCCAAGACTATGGCACCGGTTTTCTAGAGGTTGAACTAGAGCTAAAACAAACAATACACAGTTTACTTGGTCTAATGAGAAAGTCAGAAAAACAAAAGTTAATGAATATAATGTATCAAAATAGGAAATGTAGATTCTTTGATGTGTTAATTTGATTTCTAGAAATGTGGAGAAATGTTCTTACAAATAAGCAAAGATGTGTGTGCAAAGAATAATCACTGCAGTTTTGCTTTTTTATGTGAAACACTGAAAACAACTTGAAATCCATCAGTAGGGAAATAAACTATAGTGCATCTGTTCTATGAAATACTATAGAACAATAAGGTATTTTGATATGTACTGTTATTAAAACATCTCCAAGATATAGTGTTAGGTAAAAGAAAGTAACACTAGATCCATTGGGATAAGCCTAAAACTGTTAACAATGGCTTTCTACTAAGAATGGGATGGACCAGGGGTTATAGGGAACATTCAGTTTTTACTTTATATACTTCAGTATTGTTTATGTTTTTTAGAATAAAGAACATATGTTATTTTTACAATAAACATTTGAAATATTTTAATAAAGATGGCACCCTGGAATAAGAGTTACTTCTGTTATTTCTTAAAAAGCATAAATTGTTGTAAGATATTTAAAAGTCCTGGTCTTACTAAGCCTTAAGAAAAAAATAACTGAGACCAGGGATCCAGTGCTACTTGGTCACATTTAGTAAACACTAAAGTAGTTGAAAAACTGAGGAGCCAACATACAGGTAGATGAATACATGTAAAAATGAGATTTCGGGGTGGCGCCTGTGGCTCAAAGGAGTAAGGCACTGGCCCCATATGCCAGAGATGGCAGGTTCAAACCCAGCCCCAGCCAAAAAAAAAAAAAAGAGAGAGATTTCGGCATAGGCTACTCTTCAATGAACATTTATTTTCTTTAATTCTTGATAACTTATAAATGCCCTTTTGCAAGTGGTTAGATTTGAGGTCTCAGGTTTCCATTTCCTTGGACTTGATCACAAGGAAAGCACCTTGACATCTGTTAAAGTCAATGCATTTTGTATATGTGCACATCTATTTGCTGGCCACAGCTGTTTTTAAAATTCTGCTACTGAATGGATGTGGTCTCGTTGGACTAAGGTTACTTTCAGACTTTGTGTATATGTTAGTCTTCCAAAATGAAGAGAAGTTAGATGCTTTTTATTCCCAACATAATATTGAACCAAGCAGTCAGACCTGTTTTCCAGTAAAGAAAATATCTACAGATCATACCTTAAATTTTGCCTATGTTCTTCTTCACAAAATAGGTGAATATTTGTTAATATCATTTCGTTCAGGAACCCTATACCATCAGAAATATTTTCTTTATTTAGGAATAAATAAGAAGTGGGATTGACATGCAAACAAACCCACAGGGAGTAACCCACAAGTAAATCACTGTTTAGGGATTTTAGTTGTATAATATTTTGCTGAAAAAGAATTGCCTTACCAGATTGATTTTGTGAGTTTTGTCCTCTTCTTTAGCAAAAGAAGTTGGTGGCTGTGTCCTGATATAAGTAGACACTGCCCATTTGGGGTCAGTTCCTGAAAGTGGATGGTGAGTGAGAAGGCCTTCGGCTTCCTCCTATTGGCTTGGGAGGAGAAAATACCACCTTGAGATCTCTTTTCTGAGAGAGTCATTGAGCAGCCTCTTGTCTAGGTGTAGACTAAGCAGGCTTCATTGCCCTGAGAAAGATGAACAGGAGACCTTTGCTGTTTCCTGTGGTTTTAAAACCCTGTCTCCACTTATTGAAGCAAGGTGGCCGCCCTGAGACACAGGGATACCGCACTTCATCTGAGGGTAGTAGTGGTGGTTGATGTGATCCACTACTTCCTAGGAGGTTATTGTCACTCAAGGAAGTTATAATTTGGGTGGTGGCCGTAGCTCAGTGAATAGGGTGCTGGCCACATACATCAAGGCTGGCAGGTTTGAACCCAGCCGGGCCAGCTAAATAACAATGACAACTGCACCAAAAAAATAGCCAGGCTTTTGTGGCACTCCCTGTAGTGCCAGCTACTTGGGAGGCTGAGGCAAGAGAATTGCTTAAGCCTAAGAGTTTGAGGTTGCTGTGAGCTATGATGCTATCACACTCTATTCAGGGCATCGGCTTGAGACTCTGTCTCAAAAAAAAAAGTTACAATTTAAGAGATCCCCCCACCAAGTGGAGTCTCATTGTGATTATACAATGATCTGCGTTTGTCAGAGTGCGCTTGTTAGTAAACAAATATCCACGGAAATTTTCAGGGCAAAATTCAACTGTATGGCAGGAAAAAGTAACTGCACTGGGTGGTATAAATTGACAAGATTCCATCTCCCTCTACATTTGGCATTAGAAGAAGTCTAGTCCAAGTTAGAGTATGCGCGTAGTGTTCTGAGACCCTTCAGAAGATGCTGAGCTTTGTGATATGGAGGCACATGGGACCTTCCAGCACTCTTGGGCTTAACTGGATACATGGGGCGGGGGGGAATGTCCCTTTACAAACTCCCAGTCTGTGGGGGCAGTTTATTCCAGTCACAGGTGAAAACATACTTTCTTAAAACTAATAAAACAAGTCTTTGGGGGTGGCGCCTGTGGCTCAAAGGAGTAAGGCACCCGCCCCGGCCAAAACCTGCAAAAAAACAAAACAAAACAAAACAAAAACAGGGCATTTGGGAGTTATAATTCTTTAGATACATTTGGCTTATTAAATATTTTTCAATGAAAGATTTTGAATGTGTATCTTTCCTTTAATTTGCATTCCTGCTGCTGAAGAGTAAGCTATCAGTTTGTCATTCCTTTATAGATAAGTTTTCTTTTCTCTGTAGGTCCTTTTAAGATCTACTTATCTTTGATATTCTACAATTTCAAAAATACATGTCGTATCATGTCATGTGTCTAGATGTAGTTTCCAGTTTATCCTGCTTGGTACTCATAAGGCTTTCCAAATCCAGAGATTCCTGGATTTCTTCAATTCTGGAAAATTTGTGTGTTATAACTTTGGATATACATCTCCATTAATTCTGTTATTACTTTCTGTAATAATGTGTATTGTACCTTTATTTTATCTTTCCTTTCTCCTAACTTGACTTCCATATTTCCAATCTCTTTGTTGCCCCATGCATTCAGAGTAATTACTTCCTATCTTTTAGTTCATTGATTCTCTTTTTATCTTTCTAACTGAAACTTTTAAATGCCAGTGGTTATATACATATATTTTTGTTTTTTGTTTTTTTGAGACAGAGTCTCACTGTGTCACCCTTGGTAGAATGCTATGGCGTCACAGCTCACAGCAACCTCCAACTCTTGGGCTTAAGAGATTCTCTCGCCTCAGCCTCCCAAGTAGCTGGGACTACAGGCACTCACTGTAACGCCCATCTATTTTTTTTGTTGCCGTTGTCATTGTTTAGCTGGCCTGGGCTGGGTTCAAACCCGACAGCCTCAGTGTATGTGGCCAGCTCCATAACCAGCTTTTTTTTTTTTTTTTTG